CTCTGTGTGTGTGTGTGTGTGTGTGTGTGTGTGTGTCTGTCTGTGGATTCCGTTCTTGGTGTCTTGTTTTGCGTACTCTTCCTTTCGGTGAATGTGGCGTCCTTCCTCTCTCATTTCTTTTCCTTTTTTAGGCATCCTCTGTATGCAGTGTGCTGGATTAGATATGCCGTCTCTCTGTCTCCTCCTCCTCCTCGTAGCATGCATGCGTAGGCGGCGTTCAGCTGTGACCACCTCCCGTTTCTTCGTCCTCTTTGCCTGCAGCAGACTTATCATATTTGTGGCCACAACATACTAATATACATGTTATGAATTTTATGTAATAAAACGGTATTTTATGAAATTTAGTAAATAATGAAATGCCGCAGTGACTCCCGCACGCACTAAGAGTCGGTCTCTCAGTGTATGGCTTGCCCTGTCATCACCATCTATGTCGCACCACTTAGTGCGGCACAGAGGGTGGGACAAAAGTGGTGCGGCGCCGGCTCAGAGGTTGGGACATAGTAAATGGTGCGGCGCTCCACCATTTATGTCCCACCCTCTGCGTCGCTCTTGTTCCCCCCCACGCCGCCCCCCGCCGTCCCCGCCGTCCCCGCCGTCCCCGCCGTCCCCGCCGCCCCCTGTGCCCTCGCCAGGGTTCTTCTACCAATTCTATTTTTAATTATAATTTACACTACCCACTTTCTGCCCCCTCTGAGTTGCCCTAAGATGCAAGTAAGATGGTGATATGCGGGCAGGGCAGGGTAGTGAGTGGCAAGCTGATCAACGGTGAGTGTGCGTTTCTTATAATCAGAGGGGGTGAGGGAGGAGGACTGGGACCCTACACACTGAAGCAAAAAGAAAAAACGAAATACTAGTAATACTAATTAAGAAAAAGTGAAAAGAAAAATACAAATAGGGGAAGGGTGAAGAGAGAATTGGTGAAGTCTATGAAAGTCGGGGAGGGCCGTTTTTCTTCTTCTCTCTTTTTTCCAACGAATCTCTTCCCCAACGTCTATAACTAGCTTCATTGAATAAAAGAGAGGACATAAAAGAAAAACGAAAAAAAAAGAGAGGAAGAAGAAAAACAGCCCTCCCCAAAAAGACGGGGAGTTTTAGTACCCCGGAAGCACCCAGATGCAGTACTCAGTTATGGGACGATAGTTTTCAGCCTCCTCCTGATGAGTAGGTATGTGAAACTCCGACGAAACAGTTTGTCACAGCCCCTCGTTTGTTTGTTGTCCTCTTCTCCCTCCCTCCCTCCCTCCCTCTCTTCTCTGCCTACGGTTTACCTGGCAGCTCCTCTGCTTAACGATATGTATACAACTACTATACATACATATATCATATGAGTGTAAAAATGAACATATTGCTGAAGAAAAGAACAAATTGCTGAAGAAAAAAAAAAAGAGAAAGAAAAAAAGAAAAAAAGAGAAAAAAAAAAAGGTCCTTCGGAACATCCGTTAAAATTGGAACGATACAGAGACTGAAGATTAGCATGGCCCCTGCGCTTTCAAGGATGACACGCATTAATCGAGAAACGGTCCAAATTAAAAAAAAAAAGAAAAAAAAAAAGAGAAAAAAAAAAAGAGAAAAAGAAAAAAAAATGTTGGAACTTCGTTGTGACAGTGGCAATTGGTTTATATGTGGGATGTGTCATTTGGTAGGACTTCCTCTTCCCTTGTCCTTTCTTTGACTGGACCCCTTTTCTCTTTTTTTTTTTTAATTATTATTATTTTTTAATCCTTTCTCTTTCTCTTGCCTCTGTGAGGTTTGGTTTCCTCCTCCTTTTCCTTACCTCTTTTTTGTCTTTTGGCTGCGTGCAAGTGGGTCCTTGTGACACATGGGGATGGGGGCAGCCAGCGCTCAACCTGTCATCCACGTGGCTGGCCTTGTACGTAAGAGGTGATGAACAGGTGGGGCTTTCCTTCCTTACTTCTTTTCCTTTTCTTGTTTTGTGTCTTTGTTTCGACTTCGCGCTCTGATTCACAGTGTGACAACATATATCATCGTCACAAAAATGTCAGAGCGCAAAAGCCAAAAAGACAAGAAGAAAAAATCAATTCATTTTTTTTTCTTCTTACGTACAACTGCCCCTGTTCAAAACCTCTTGCGTACAAGGCCGCCCACGTGGATGTAGGTTGAGCGGCGGCTGCCCCCACCCCCGTGTGTCATATCGACCCACTTGCACACAGCCAAAAGGCAAAGAGGCAAAGAAAGAGGAAGGGAACAGCCCACATATAACAAAACAGTGGCAAACGAACATAAACGAATCCTAGATGACAAGTCCCCCATGCGAGCCCCGCCCCCTCCGTCACAGGCCAAACGACGGGACAAGACCAACCAGGATATCAAAACACCCTTGCCTGCAAACAAACAATCAATCCCATATAACAAACCTTTCGGCGTACTGACCAGCGACTCTGCGTCAACTCCAAGAACCCTTTGCAATTGTTATTTTTTGGAAAAACTGGAATCGTTTCAAGCTTTCTGCTGCTTCGCTGTTCTAAGCTAAAATACTGGGACCACCACCAACGGCAAAAAAAAAAAAAAAAAAAAACAATCCCAGATGACGATTCCCACAGAAAAGCACCCTCGCCCTCACCACAGGCCGAACAACGGGAAACAGCCAAACATGATCCCTGCATCGTCAAGGTGAGTTGCACGAAACGGGAACTGGTCCAGATTCGGAAAAGAAAAAGAAAAGAAAAAGAAAAAGAAAAAGAGGGGGAAAAAAAAGAGTGCTCTGTCTCCCCACTAGGAAATTGGACTGTGTGGCGTTATCTCAAACTGCATGTAGGCATTGATCTGTCCAGATGTTCAATGGTGCATGGCGACATCTACGTTGCAGTACGTAGAGACACGATAGAATCTCTCTTCTCTCTTCCACCTACCAACAGTCTTGGTTTGGAGTCTGCAGATTCCCACATCCTCCTCCATCCTCCATCTCGTTTTAAAGCGCTGCGCCACCCCACCCCGCCCGGCCCCATCCCACGCCACACCACGTCATGGCACACCACCTTCTCCTCCTTATTTCTCGACTCCCTCCCTACACCCTGAGATAGCATGATATCCTCACCAGTCGGTAAAGAGGGGAAAATAGAAAAAAACATGGCCATCAGTTCGCTGCCACGGCAACTGTTTTCCTCTTGTGGCTAATCACCTCCCTGCTCTTCTCCTCCTCCTCTGT